CCGAGGTGAAAAGCCCCCATCTAATATTAATATACAGTATGACTGGTTGACTGAAAAGCAGAAAATAATTTTCATCACAAAATGTAATTGAGTTAGAATAGAGTTTAGTTGTATAGGAGCATAATTTTTGGGAAATAGGTTCAAAACATAATGAATGAAACAAATGTCAGTCAGTGAAACCCACACTTTACCAACACGTGATCGTAACACTACATCACAACTCATTAAATAGTAAATGTTGACGTTTTTGACATTCAAATCCAATGGCATGAAATCTGACGATTACCATTATTACCTCAGCTGGAATTGAAGCAGACAGACAACTGTGATGGGACCATAATATAATTAGGTGGTAATGCCAAACTGGTTTATGTCCAGCATAGTTTTTGGGTTTACAAATCCAACATTTCTTCCATTAGGTTTACATCGTCTAGGTCGGAAGTCAGAATCAATCGGCCAGCTTGAGGTTTTATTGGACAAAGTTAATGGCGGAGATAAATGAAAAAAATAAAATAAAATAAAAATAAAATTCCACATCCCCTAAAATGAGTTAATTACCAAAACCGTTCCATCCTAAGATTAAAGCCAAACGTTGAGAAATACAAATTGAAAACTTTGTTCCCTGGTCTGGTGAACACTGTCCTCAGAGGGTTTATGAATACAGGTCTGGACTAGTATAAACTAACAGCAAAGCACCAATAAAAACTAGAGCACATTTTATCCAGCCAGAGAGCGAGCTTCAGTAACAGACTTCACTTGATATTTAAGGCAATGTAAGTTCATAGAATTGTTCCTCTCGAAGAAAAAAAAAAAAAAAGAGAAAATTAAGAAAATGCACCAAAATATTTCTATGTGCTGCAAAGAGTAGCTGCAGCAAACAAACTGGCTTCTACAAATAAAACTTTTAACCACGAACCGTAATCCTGTGTGACAGCAAATTGTAATAACCTGCTGTCCTGACACAAAATAAAAATAAGTGAAAGAATCTAAAGTAATGACATCTTAACCAATTAAACGTATCCAAATTATACGAAGAGACATTATTATAAAATTAAAGTAGATACAACCCTAAAACAGAATATACATGTTAATACCTAAAGCCTGGACAGTTACTGTTAAAGTTTCAGGATAAGTGGACCCACATGGTGACACGACGGTACTGCATTAATGAAATAGTTATGTTTTAAATTCCTTCAGCTACGTAAGCAAGTAATTTAAAATGTTTCTGGATGGACGCTTACTTAAATTTAGAGGAATTTAGAAAACAAACTGGTTCTGTCCTAGAAATAGAAGTTGTGGAAATTCATTACAAACCTACGGAAGCCGAGAGCGGTCATGGCCGCACATTTCTTTAAATGCTGTTTTTCTGAGACAACGAGATAATTATTCAGTTATCTCGGGAAAACGGCGTTCGTTTTCTCGTGATAACGAGATAATTATCCCGTTGACAGTTTTGGCTGTCATCAGAAGTTGTCGGACTTCCTGGTGTGACGTATCTTATATAGACAGCTGACCGGGAACTCCGACATGACATGTCATGAGAACAGCTGACCGTGCACAACAACTTACAATGAAGCGCTCGTGCCCGGTCTCGTCTGTCCTCCGGCCCCCTGCTGGTGACTGAGGATGGAATCCCAGGTGTGTGGGACCTCCCACACACCTGGGATTCCATCCTGGACCGGGCACGAGTGGGCAAACACAAACACCAATTATCTGGTTTTCACGAGAAAACGATTCCTGTTATCCCGAGATAACGAGAAAATTAACTCGTTATCTCGAGAAAACGGCGAAGAAAGAACAGTAGCGGAAAACGACCGCTCTCGGCTTCCGTACAAACCACTTGTGGAACTGTGTAGAAACTAAACTGAAACTGAAACTGCTAGACTTTCCAATTAAGACCAGAATTAAATCAAAAATATGACATAAAGTCATGTTTTTATTATGTGATATGTTTAAGTAATGACATTTTTTTATCCAAACAGTATAAATTCTGGACAAACATGGAGGTAAACTGCAACTTGGCTGTTTGGCAGAAGCATACAACCACTAGGCAGTAACTTTATATTTGTCCTATCATTGTGGCCCAGACTTCCATTCTGACATGCTATATCCAATCCGAAGCCGTCAGCAGAACTTTCTATAACTGTCCAGGATGAGAGTATTTGATGTGACTTCTGTTTCAGGGTTGATTTCCGCTTTAAGACACTAAGAAGAGAGAGAGCCCCTTTGTCCCTTGGAGTGGGGTCAGAGCACTGTGACCCCGTTACTCCTGCTTTGCCACTGTGGTGCTGGGAGTCAAAATTACTCCTCAGGTAACACAACCGACCCAACACCTCCTGGTGTAAGTGCCCCACCTCAACATTTAAATTTTTTTTGAAAAACCCAGACTTCACCAGAGCTGATCAGCTTCACCTCTAAATCCCCAAACCTGACCTGGGTAAAAAAAGAAAAGCAGCAAACCCAGACGTGTCGTTTTTAAAACATGTGATAATTTATTACCGTCACTCTTCTGGTGTCCAAAATGCATCTTCATAGGTATCAGTGGAAGCTGGATCATAAGAGGGCCTCTTAGATGTTAGATGCTGTCTTTACCCATCTGCCTCTGACCCTGCAACTCTACACCTGCATCGACAAACAGTTGTTAGCATTACATGGCAGCGGTGACATTAAAACTCTACTGTGGTTGCCAGTTGTGTTCCATCCAAATGTTTAAGGACTAGAACTTCCTTGAAAGGCAGTCTTAGCAGTTCAACATTCTCAAAACTTATATTTGGGTTCTGTTTGTGATCAAAAAGTTGCTGTCTGTGGGTTCCTGCTATTTAAAAACAACCACAGCAAAATTCTATACCAGTCATAATCCATCCATCCATTATCTATACACCCCTTAATCCTCACTAGGGTCGCGGGGGGGCTGGAGTCTATCCCAGCTGACTTAGGGTGAACCAAGCACACTCACATTCACACCTACGGACAATTTACAATCACCAATTAACCTCAACATGTTTTTGGACTGTGTGGGAGGAAGCCAGAGAACCCGGAGAGAACCCACGCTGCACGGGGAGAACATGCAAACTCCACGCAGAAAGATTCCGGTGCCCCCACCGGGACGCAAACCAGCAACCTTCTTGCTGCGAGGCAACAGTCCAGTCATAATCAATAAGCAAAATTTAAATGATAGGCAACTGTACTGCTAATCAGTGGTTCCAAACATTAAATGAAGGTCTAGATTTTCTTTTGTCAACAAGCTGCTGCCATGTTGAGCAGCTGTGGCTCTCATTTCACCATATCCTGGATTGTGTTGTTTCTTTAAACACACATACATGTTGTCCTCATCTGGCAAAGAGGTTTATGGTTTTCAGTGTTTGTCCTTGTTAACAGGTACAATTGTTTTAATCAAATTTTAGATGTTTTGTAAAGAGTTAAGTGCTTAGAAGAGTTTTTGTGAATGCATTTTTTATTTTTACCCAGGTCACGTTAAAACTGATCTCCAAACCCGCTCCGTATACGTCCCAACCCTTAACTCAAGGCTAACTGGAATTTCATGTGTGGACCCACCACAGACAGCACACACAGGCACAGTCATTCATTTTGTGTCCTACAAGACAGCAGCACAAAAAACAAGGTCCACACACCCTCTGGGTTTTGTCCAAATACTACATCTCTAGTTCTGTTTTTTTTTTTTTTTTGCTGTCCCTTAAGGTTACAATCCCCCCTATAGCCCACCCCAAACACTTCCCAACCTCCCACAGGTGTTCATAGAAAGTTCTCAGAAATCACAGAAACTCTAAGAAACTTGTTTCCGGACAGGATTTCTTAGGCTTCATTTGTTTCAGGACACGCTGAGAAATGTTTCTTCTATGAGAAATAACATTCATGTGACCCAATCTGGGTCCATAGACACAGTTTAGGAAATCTTGTTCAACAGTAACTTGCTGCAAATTGTTCTGTTCCTTGCAGATATTACATCCAACTTTATGTCTACACAAACATCACATTACACTTTGTGTGCCCGTGAAAGTCAAGTGTTGGGGGCTCAGCAGCATAATACAATCATGTAGACCCATTTTTATTTATTGTTTTTTTAGTAAAACCCTCTCAGTAATGGCCCCATACTGAGCTCAGTGTAGGACACCAGGCGTTCTATCCACCACTTGCAACCACTTACGGCCGAAAGTTTAGAGACGTCAGCTGATAAAGTTACAGTAAACTGTGGCGAAAGTGTTTATTCTCCATCTCACACTTTGACAAAGTCCATGGTCCTTATCGCCGGATATCCACAATCTGCACTTCAAATGTTGTTTATGTTCTTTCTACAAGCACCAACGTAGTGCAAGGTGGTTTTTTACAGATTTGTTATCTGTAGCTCCTTCTATTAATCCCCAACGCTGTTTGTACATTTACTCTAAATGTCACACTCACGCCTTCTCGTAGCCAAGTATAAAATCAGGCAGCTTCCTCGAGAGGCAGCAAGTGGCTCCCAGCTTCGTTTGGCTGATCCAGTTTTTGCTGATGAGGCTGTTGGAGCTGAAACAAATGTCTAAAAACACTTTCACCTCAAAATAGATGAAGTCTAAAGCGAGTATTATTGACGGTTTCCTAAAACTCATTAAGCTCTGCTCCAAAATATTTCGTCCCGTCCTGTGGAGTTGGGGCCATAGTCCTTCCAATCCAGGGCTGAGATACTCCTACGCAGACATCCAACACCCTTCCTAATAAAACTTCCATTAGATCTAAGTACCCTGCCCCCCATTAGAACTACAGGTGCTGCGATTCTCATTCCTAAATTCTTTTCCTTTCGACCCCATCCTCCTCATCTCCCTCCCCCCCGCCCCAGGCTAGTCTCCTCATTGGCGGGCGGGAGGGCTCGTGCCGCTAGAGCGCTGTAATCTGAGTCAATTCTGTGTTGGAGTTCCCTGTCCCATGGGTCTCTCCTCTTTGTTGGGGGTCTACCCCCACCAAAGGGAGCTCTACGCCTAGTCATGCTGGATTAGGCGTCCCACCTCCAGGCCCCCCGCCGTCTCCGGCCTTGCAGCTGTAGGCGGCCGCCACCTCCCTGGCGATGCTCCTCATCCTGCCCGACTGCTGGGTATCGAGGCGGAACGGAGACGGGTGGCAGAACTCACGGAAGCAGCGCTTGAAGTTTTCATCCAGGAAGGCATAGAGCACTGGATTCAGGCTGCTGTTGACGTAGCCCAGCGCGATGCAGAAGTGCATCAGGACCAGCGTGAACAAGCTGCTCAGGTTAAAACCCAGAGACTGAGCCAGTACCATGATCTGGATGGGGGTCCAACAGACGACGAAAGCTGCCACCACCACCAGAACCATCCTGGTGATGCGCCGCAGGTTGCGGTCCTTTTCCTTGGAGCCGGACAGGATGCGAACGCTGCGCAGGCGTTTGACCATCAGGCTGTAGCAGATGCTGATTATAGCCACAGGGATGAGGAAGGAGAAGAGGAAGACGCAGGTGCCAAAGACAGGATCCCAGTGACTCCTCGGTTCTGGTAAAACCACAATGCACTCAACACCTGTGTGCGAGAAAGAGTAATAGAAGAAGACAAATGAAAGAAATATATCATTAGAAAAACAACAACAACAAAAACAGTCTTAATAGTCGAGGAGTCTTGAGGAACCTTTTGGGGTTCTTCACCATCGTCACTCTGGAGGAACTCTTTGGATTAGACATGGTTTCTTGAGTAATCGCTCAGAAAGTTTCTTCAAAAAAGAAACCCCCCATTTCGTGGGGTTTAGGGCTCCATTTTGAACTCTTCTTCTTCTTCTTCTTAATTTAATTGGACAATGTATGTAATGTGTAGAATTATAGATATTCCTAAAGAAATTGCAGAGATATATTCATTTATTTTTCCCTATTTAGGCAATTAGGGACCTTGGCATTAGGGTTGAAAATAATTTGGACACAAATCTGTCAGCAGAAAGTCTGACAAGATGCTAATTTGCCCAAATAAATACAATTTGCTTTTAGTAACATCTCCAGTTTTGGTGATTCCATGCCAAATAATATAGGTGTTTTAGTGGTATATGCATTTTTGAATATTAAATATGGTTTAAAAAAACAAAAAACAAAACAAAAAAAACTAATTTACAAGAAAATTAAGGGCAGCATTATTTGAATGTCCAGTTACAGTATTAAACAGTTATATTCTACAGTAGAGTGATATAATCGATTATACACTTAGGAACTGTTTTAGTAAAGCACAACTGTAGAAATACAGTAAAATACTGGCAACCACAGCTGCCAGTATTTTTACTGTAAACCTCACATGTTACAGTAGAATGCAGCAATGCAGTTTACTGTAATTACTTAAATAAAACATGATAGTAACGCTGTAAAAATGTAGTGATGACCACAGCTGCGGTATTTTGCAGGAAAGCGTGCTGTTTTATTTATCTCTGCCACGAGCAAAGCAACTCCTGCAAAGCTCTGCGATGAACTCGTTCGCTATCAAGTTCAACATGGCCGCTTTAAATTGCTCCCAGTTCTGCATGAGAGGAAAAACAATATCTGCTGTGACTGAAGTGCATTGCTAAAAATAAACCTTTATTTATACGTTGCATAATTAACCGGCATTAAAACCTACTATGCGTACTACGGGGAGCAATCTGCGACATCTGAATGATAATGTGTTTATTAAAAATGCTAATTACCATTGTGGATTAGGCAAGCGTATTAGCAACACAAGACGAGCACATAGAAGTGAGGAAAGGGAAGAAAAAAAACATGCATTGACAGTGTGACATGATGAGGTGAGACTTATTAGGAATGGATAAATGAACAATGACAGGAGAGTCAGTTTTCACAAGGCAACTGGTTTAATCAGCTTAGTCATAATACAGTCTGCAGCTACAGTGAAGGAAGGACGGGGTGGAGGAAGGAGACAGGAAGATAAATGTGTCTGAACCCGTAAAGAGATAAGGAGAAGCAGGTAAAAATCAAAGAATTATGACTGCAGAGTTTTACAAGAACCCGGTGGGCTGGTCAGATTTTACATCATGAAAGGCAAAAGAAAATTAATAAAATATTAGAATAAAAAAGTACGCAGTGACAGCACATGAACTGGTGTGTTGAGCATCACAATAATTTAACAGAGGAAACGCTCAAACAGTAAATCTCGGCAGAGGACGGACAGAAATGAGAAGAAAATGTGTCTCAAACCGCCGGACTCACACTGAGTTACGAGCAGCCGCAATTCAAAAATGATGACGGGAGGGGAAAAAAAAGTGCGATGTTTGTACAAAATCACTCGACACGTTCGGCGTTAAATCACAACAGAGAGCAGCGTCCCAGCTCTCCTGAATACATTCACCTTGTTTGTCTAAATGGAAGTCAACTTTGGACGCAGCGGGAAAGCTCTTAAGGCGGAGGAAGAAATGAATCATAAAACAAAGAGAAAATAGAAAATTGCGAACCAGCAGCAAACCAATACAAAGACACCGGCTGCACTTAGAAGTGGTCCAGGGCTCACAGATGGCTGCAGGGCTGAAGTTCAAGAGTATTTTTAGCAAAACTGAATCCATCCACTTGTCAAATCCATTTACAAATCTATTTGAAAGTTTCTTTTTCAGCATTTACAAGCAGGTAAAGTAATAAAAAACAACGACTACATTTTAGAGATTCACTTTATATCTGCGTTGAGCTGTTGCCATCAGTTTGACCGTTTTCGGTGGTCGCTACCGGATTCCATTCGGAGTTAAAAGGCTTGATTAGAGAATAGTTAGCACCGCAGGTCAACAACTAGACCAAAGTGGAAACAGCTACCAGTGAACTACGAATGTGGATCTCATCGTGACACTAAAGGGAAACTCAGCAGGAATCATTGTCTGTGATCAAATCATGTCTGTCTGTGCGAATCCATCCAACAAAGGACATCATTTACTAAAAAAGTGAGAGTTTTGACAAGAGGTGTGACTACAAAACAGTCAGGTGACCAGCAAAGTTCAGAAGGAGTGTTACATCATAGTTAAGTGTCATACAGAGAAGTCATTTCAGGAGGCATTATCGTTTGTTTGACTGTTCTGCATTTGACCTTGTGATTCAAATTTAAATATCAGTCCTCTGAACTCATAAACCTGCCAGTGGGTTTTAAAGGCATCTTGTGTTTTTTTTCTTTTTAAAAATATGAAAATTAAATCATTTATTGCAGCATGAAACTGTAAAACAAAGCTTCAGATGGTCCTCGGCCTCCTCCGATATGCTGTTCGGTCGACAAATTAACCAAATGGAAGCTTGGAATTGTGATATTTCATTAAAAACAGCTTAATTCTATGTGTCTAAATAAAAACTTTAGCAAGAATCAACCATCTGAACTACGCTGATTCCATCTTATCTGTCATTTAACAAAAAATCTACACAGAGCAGGTGGGAGAAAAGCATGGAAACAAATTAAAGATGTAAGTAGTGTAAGGAATAGCTTGCAGAGTCACCATTTTGTCAATACAGGTAACACCTGTGGGCAAAACAAAAGGTGTCCATTTTGATTCCAGGATTTTCCAACTTTCAGTGATTTAACTTTAATGTTTCATCTACTTATGACATTATAACTTTATTATATTGCACTAAGGGCATCTGTGACTTTCCTCCACAGCAAGCCGTGGTTGGCTTCATCCCATACATAGACTGTATAAAAGATGGACGTAGCAACCGGCCCCGAAAAATGAAGCCAACCCGAAAGTGTCAAAAACCTGCAGTATCACTACGTCCGCCAGCTGCTGGCTCCAAAAAGCCCTGGCTCCCATAGAAATGAATTGGAAAAGAAGTGATCACAGATCATGAGATACTGCATTCCTCCAGCTCAGGATTTTTTTCTTATTAGTTTTCATGATCAAGTCCAGAGATCAGGTGGCCAATCTGAAAATAGATCAATACTGAAGTTTTAAAAAATCATCAACATTTTGTGGGGCAAGGGGCGTGGCTGGCTTGATTGACAGTCGGCAGCGACCATACAGATGAAGCGAGCAGAAGGCGGTAAATGTGGGCGGCAGAGAGGGCCCGCCTCTCAATCCGTCTGACCAATCGCTGCTCCTATGGCTCCGCCCCCCTCCGACGATTTTTGCGTCACTGGCTCCAAAAATCCAAGATGTCAACCAGGAAGTAGCAAAACCCTGGCTTCATTTTCTCAGTGCAGAAACCAACGGGTGACTCCACGGTAGCTACGTCCATCTTTTATACAGTCTATGGTCCCATACAGGTGCAGGAAGGACTTTGACAGTGAACAATGAGCTTCTAGTGTGCGAAAATTAGGCATGAGCACAAAACAACCAAAGTTAAACCAGAGTTAGGTTAAAGTGTTGCATGGCCTTGAGAAGAATCTGTAAAAGTTTAAAAAAATTGTGATGATCAAATTTCTGCTGTCTTGCTGAAAACCAGACATTTCGAACCAAAGCAGCATAAAGTATTGAACTGCCTACAGCAGCGTTTTCAGACTTTCTTGCTTCGTCAGCCTGGCGAAACAACAACTTTGCTCCGAGTCTTGAAGCAACGGACCAGAAGAAGGAGAAATGCCCCGTACACGTGGATGATTTGACAATCGATTTGTCAGAGGAACCACGAATGGCCTAAACAGTGATTGATTGCACTTTGGAGGTAATCGGCTCCTGGGATTCCTGCCATTAGTTGGGTTTCATGTTTTAATCATAACCCTGACAGGAGTGGAGATTAAAAAGTGTGATTTTTTAAAATGTATTTATTTATTTTTTAATCCCGAGGCTGCTTGCAAGGCCAAGAAATCAATCAGACTTAAATTCTAAGTGATAGCAATGATGCAAGGAGGAAGACGGAGCAAACTTTCGAGGTCTCTAAGCGCCTCCTGGTTGCTCCGATTATCATAATTATCCTGCTCGAACAAGTGTGTTTTTAATGAAGTAGTTACTTTTTTAGAACTTTAAATAGATTATTACCATATTCAAGAAAAGTAGCACCACCGTTTCCTTTACAAAGTATATGGTGAGCAGGTGTAGTCGCTGTTATTCTGAAAACTAAAGTAACTTTTTTTCATCTTCAAGCCATAAAAGAAACATAAATGCAGCGTTTTTTTTGTTCCGAAATAAATCCTGCAGCTGTGTTTATACCAGATAAGGCATCTCACACACACACACTCGAGCTGCATAAACAGCGGAGATAAAGCCGCAAACGGGAATAGGAACTGTTGGAAGAAAAAAAAGTTGATCTATTATTCCATTTGTTGGAAGCTTTTATCCGACGCATCTCTCGCAGCGCCACGCGTGTGCACGATTTATGGCGTGTGCGCGTTGCCCCGCTAAAAACGGAGGCTCCATTACCGCCACGCCGCAGCCGTTGATCAAAAACCCAGTAAAAGTCTGTGTGAAAGGGCAGGGATAGTGATAACTGTCTTGATAGGGGCTGTGCAGTTTGTGTGCTTTATGGCAATTGCTGCACATGCCTCGCCGTTCCCTGAGGAAGAAAGTGGCAGAAACGAAGCACCGGGCGGGTTTTTACACCTAATGGATAACAGCACCAACAAAATACAATAAAGGTATTGTTCCCTGCTGG